GTGACGCTGTCCTTGGGCCCTGGCAGGGGAGAACACCGTGCGCACGATCGCCATGGACGGGACGGAAGGGCTGGTGAGGGGACAGAAGGTGCTGGACTCCGGCGCGCCCATCCGCATCCCCGTCGGCCCCGAGACCCTGGGCAGGATCATGAACGTCATCGGGGAGCCCATTGATGAGAGGGGACCCATCACAACGAAACAGTGAGTGACTCCGTGGGCCGGGAGTTGGTGTCAGGTGAGGTTTGGAGGTGGGAACGTGGGTTCTGGAGTAGTAGACATGCTTGTGAACAGGGATGGGGCACGTCCCTGCCGTGCTTCTGTTCCTCTGGGTCACGAGCAGGGACTGCTCCTGAGGGGACTCCCACCCTGGCTGAGGGGTCTCCGTTTGGCTGCTCAGCTGCATTTCTTCCTGGCTGCAGGTTTGCTGCTATCCACGCCGAAGCCCCCGAGTTTGTGGAGATGAGCGTTGAACAGGAGATCCTGGTGACGGGGATCAAGGTGGTGGATCTGCTGGCTCCCTATGCCAAGGGTGGCAAGATCGGTGCGTTGTCCCCAGAGGAACTGGGGGTGTCTGGGGACGGGGGAACACCCTGCCAGCCCTGTTGGAGCTCAGGACTGGTCCCTCTGCAGCAGTTTCCTTCGCTGATGAGTAACCATTTGACTTTCGTTCTTCTGAGCTTGCTGAAGCAACGTTTATTGATCTGAGGAGGAAAGGGGTGAAGAGGAAGAAATAGGGGCCATCTGGATTGGCTTGGGGTTGAGTTGGGACTCTTCTTCCCTTCCAGGTTTGTTTGGAGGTGCTGGTGTTGGCAAGACTGTGCTGATCATGGAGCTGATCAACAACGTGGCCAAAGCCCACGGCGGTTACTCGGTGTTTGCTGGCGTGGGGGAGCGAACCCGTGAGGGCAACGACTTGTACCATGAGATGATTGAGTCTGGGGTCATCAACCTGAAAGATGCCACTTCTAAGGTGGGTTTGCTCTTCTCAGGGGACCGGGTGGGGTCCCAGCAGCACCGGGGTCATGGTGGCAGAGTGACACTGTGCCAACACCCGGGTCCTGCCCGCAGGTCGCCCTGGTCTACGGGCAGATGAATGAGCCCCCGGGCGCCCGTGCCAGAGTGGCCCTGACGGGGTTGACGGTGGCCGAATACTTCAGGGACCAGGAGGGTCAGGATGTGCTGCTCTTCATCGACAACATCTTCCGCTTCACCCAGGCCGGCTCCGAGGTCTGTGCTTGGCACGGGGCTGGGGCTGAGCGTGGTGGTG